TTTCTGAACCCCGTCAGTCTTATAAAGCAGTAAGGTGATTGTGTGAAGTTTAACAGTCAAAAATGAAGGTAATAAACATGTACCTTTGACTTCCACCCGTCCAGCTTGTCGAACAAAGTTCTAACGAAATAAATATTCACATACCTACTCTGGTAATTTTAGTGAAATTATCCAGTAACTACTTTCATGAAAAAATAGCAGGCTTTCAGCAAACCTATCAAATAATAAGAATGGAATGTTAGATGATGATTTGTGTTCTAAACCCACATAAGAGCATTACATTTGCATTGCATTAGTTCAGACTTCCATTTTCCAATATGATATAAATTTATTTGAAATCCCTGAAAGAATGTATAAAAGAAACTGAAAGGAGTAGCTGAAAAATAACAGTTATATCAAGCAAAAAACTGAAATTACAATGAAATAAAATACAAGCAAAAATTGAACTACTAACACGAGACGAAAATTGAAAATAATTAACAAGAAATGAAAATTGAAAGATTGCAAGCCACGTTAGTTCACGACGTTTCGATTGTTAATATCCATAATCGTCTTCGGGTGATAACTGGACTTATTTCTCCGAAATCTGACTATTTATAGGTCATTCGAGTGCTTTCACCTATCCAATCTTCCCTCACTCCGCTTCATCAGTTTTAGCGGGAGCTGATCATATGGCGGGAGTTGGTCGTGTTCCGCTTGCCTATAGGTTTTCATATGTTGCGTATCTCTACGCTAGCTTGGATGAATGCGTTGTTGGACAACATATATGCGGCTTCTTTGATTTTTTTCCTAAACCAGTGTTTCTCCTTGTGGATAATTTCAGCTTGAGACCACTTGAGGTTATGTTGATGAGCCGAAACATGCTTTTCCTGATTTGCTGGTTTCTCCTCGCTGTGTGTTTTTATTGTGCTCGGCAATGCGAACTTTCAATGGCCTCTTAGTTTCACCGATGTATGATTCTCCGCACTCGCTGGGTATCCGGTGAATGCAATTTTTGGAATCGCAGTCCGAGTTTGGTGGAATGGTTTTCGTGAGACTGTTACGGATAGTGTTTCCAGATCTGAAGCAGGTTCTGATGTTATACTTGGACCCAATTCTTCTTAATCTTTTCGACAATTCTCTGATGTAGGAAAGTACAAGTACTGGTTATGGCCGCTTTTTTCCTTGTGATGCTTTTGCTGTCTTCTAGCCAAAGTCTGTTTCATCATCATTTTGGATTAACCATTCGGTCGAAGGTCATTTTTGATGATGCCTAGTTCCTTTTCGATGCCTTCCTTTGTATTACAACATAACATTTATTGTCTTTGTGAGTTTTTCATCATTTGTAGGAGTGTGATCTTTCTCGACTGCAGTTGTTTTGATTGGCTTCTTCGAGTTTTACCATGGTTTTCTTTGGTTATGATCTCGTGTAAAATGAAGCATTAAGATGAGTACTTTGATCACGCCAATGGTGATGACTGCTGCAGTTGAGGTTGAAACGTTTGGTGTTATAACCAAAGAAGACCACGGCAAAACCCGAAAGAAAATCAAAACACTTTTCACCATTTGTTCGTATTGCATTCTCTAACCATGCAATCATTTCGTACCGAAGAGAACATATATTATTATTCAAATAACTATCTATATAGGTATGATCATTTTTTAAGAATTGATACTACATGTTGTGTGTAATCAATTTTTATTTTGTTTTGTTGTATTAGATATGTACGATCCAATAGAAGTTTGTTTCAAAAATATTTTTCAATATCATTCTCTATCAACCTCAGTTTTGAAATTTCATATGCTGACAATAGAAAAAGATACATTCCACCTAAAACTTACATTGGAAAATATAATCAGAAAGTGAGTTCTGAAAGATTTCATATTGAAGTTTTTGTCATTATTATTTTCTGATAAGGTCTACCCGTTATTGTCTGGTACTGGGAGTTCCGCTATATATTTTCAGTTACTATAGAGTCAGGTAAATGTATTGAGTATTGCCATACAACTAGATTTTGGTTATCATGACTCTTATATCGATACTACCAAAGTAACAGTACTTGGTGTAATTCAACGGTTCTTTCCAAATGGTTGGCGTTTAGAATTTAGAAGCTTTTTTTTTTCGTCACTCTCCTAAATGTTCAACACGCGTTTTACAAATATAATAAAAAACCCAATACTTGTAAAATTCTGAAAACAGCTTTCCATGGGATTATTCAATCTCACATATCGTATTCAGTACTTGTCTGGGGCCATGTGCCCAATGCATCAGATTTATTTGGCATCCAGAGAAGGGCAATTAGGATTCTTGATAACCTTCCTTACCGGCAAGAATGTAGAAGTAGCTCCATAAATAATACAATACTTACACTTCCATCATTATATATATTGCAATGCCTGCTACATGTTAAAAAACATATAAGAGGTTATACTACACATGATGCAATCCACAGTTATAACACTCGAAATAATTCAAATCTGTATCTCCAGAACCATAGAGTCAACAGAACTAGAACTGGTGTAAAATATTATGCTCCAAAAATGTATAATTCGCTTCCCCAAAATATCAAAAATCTACCTTTGAAGGAGTTCAAATACAGAATCAAAAATTTTTTAATTAAAAAAGCTTTTTATTCCTTAGATGAATATTTTAGTGATGGTTTTCGAGACATGTAATACCACTTAATCATATATATTTTAACTTGTTTTATATTTCTATTTCATAGTTAGTTTGTTTTATTTGCACAAATGTATGTATATCTATAGTAATTGTCCATTTAACCATTCAAGTAAACTGAATATTTTATATTTTGTATTTATAGATAAGCAATATCTGTTATGACCTGTGTAAACTTTGTATTAGCACCAAATATATACTACTACTACTACTACTACTACTACTACTACTACTACTACTACTACTACTACTACTATGATTACAAGGTAAAACAAAATGGACAACAAAGTAACATAGGCTACACAAAGAGTTCTCAGTTTGCATATGAAACAAAAATATCAGTAGTAGGAATTAACAACTTCATAACTCTCGGAAACAAGAAGAACAATTAAATTTTTCAAACTAGTACGTCCATTTTATATTTTCAGTATTACTTCTCACTGTTCTCATTCGTTAGGTTTTGTTTTCTGTAAAAAAATCTATTTTTGCAATGGTTGTTAAAATGTTTTTTTATCTTCCCAATCAAATCAGTATTCATTATTTTAGCGTTTTCCAGATCACTCGTACTTCTTATGCCACAAAAAAATTACTACAAACTTTTTCTCCGCCTCTGTTCAGAATAAATAGATTACTTGGCATGTTCGGTAGACGTTGAGAAATTACTTTTACGGTCAATATAAAAATAATTGTTATTTTATGCAATTGTCTTGTATGTGCGTAAGTCGTAGCCGCTGCCAACTGCAACAATGAGACAGGCGTTTGTAAGATGTCTAACATGAACCGCATCAAGTGGACTGACAGCAAAATCTACAACAGCCAGCGGATGCGATTGAAATCAGTGATGGGCAAATTGAAAAACTGGCATGATTTTATTTGAGAAAAATGCTAATGGGATTTGTTCTGCTCTCTGTTCATTTAAGACCATCACTTTTAATTACAGTGTACAAGAGTGTTTTCGGTATTTTTGTAAAGTGCCCATTTCAATGGAGTGGTCAAGGATACACTCAGGATGGAAATTAATATCGAAACTATTCATTAGAGATTTCCTGATACTAACTCCAATCAGTCAGTAAAAGAATATATTTGCTACCCATCTTTACAGTATGGATGTCGTAACTGAAATTATATGAGAGGTCATGATAAAACAGAGCACCAGAATCTGTAATGGAAAGGAAACAGCTCAGATGTAGATTTCAACAAATAGTGTCTGTGGTATCATCATCAAAGTGTGAAGTTTTCCACACGCCGCGCCGGTAATAATATACATCAAACACTAGTTTCAAGTTTGGTCTCTTTAATATCAGATTTTTGATTATTTTCCAAAGCACAATTGAAATTGAAAATATTTAGGTTTTTCCATAAACAGACCTTCATGATATTGAACTTTAACATTGGTTTCTGCTTCGAACTAGATCAGTCACAATATGATTGCTAATCAGTAACTCTAATTCGTTATCTGATAACATTGACATTGTTTCAGAGACGTGGAATATTCATTTTGGACAGATTTCGACAAAAGTCATTTCAAAACTTCAATAGACTTAGATCCACTTTTGCGATTTCGAAGAAAGATAGAACATCGGCAAAATTGAGTATGCAAAAAAGATAGTTCACCCATACCCATCGACAGAAAAAAAACTACTCAACCTGAAGAAACAGAATTTACTTCAGACAAGAAGAGAATTTTGTTAGCTTTGCCTGGTTTGGTGATCCAAAATATTTTCAAATGCGGTTTTTCTATTGGTTGAGAAAGGGATCAAAAATGTTCGTAGATAAACAATTTAGTTTTATGTCAACTTTTCGGATTTCAATCAATCCATCATCAGGGCTCAAACATTAGTTATCCATGTCAAAAAAAGTTTGAAATATATGTGTCAGACAACATAGGTACAAACGAAAATGAGGACTAACCAAATGAAAACACATACACCACAGACACATTTAATGTTATTCGGATGTTATTTCAAAGATCATGAAACACGTTATTCAGCTACTTCTCTAATTTTCAACCCCGTTTAGTTCAAAAATTGAAAGTTATCCGTTTCTCCCAATGGGTCTTACAAAAGTCTCAAAAACTTGAATGGATATCATGAATGGATATATTGAAGTTGATGAGTGTCATAAAAATTCTTCAATTGAAACATTTAAACAACATTTCAAATTCAAAACTTTCTCGTCTAATACTTCGGAATTTTCTGGAAATACCAAAATTCACTGAGAGCAGATTTTTATTGGAATATTCGACAACAAACACTCCCCAGTATCTTCATATTTGAAAACATGTGTTTTTCATAGACGTCAGTATTGAATTCAGTATCACGAATACGTTACGGTGACAATAAAGTTTTTCATTTGTTTTCAGATCTGCCAATTACAACAATGCAACCGGTGACTGCGAATTGTCGGTAATGGACAGAATAACTCTTGCCGGCACCAACGCTTTCCAACCATCCACAGGTTACGACTACATCGAAAACAACTGCATCGAAGAACCCACCAAATTGTGCGAGTTCAAAAAATTGAACGGAAGGATTCTGAAAACTGTTGACTCAGTATATCAAGACATCGGATCCGTAGACGAATGCCGTGAGCTCTGCCTCAATTCCCCCTACAGATGCCACTCCTACGACTATGGAGACACCGGTGAAATGGTGTGCCGTCTCAGCCATCACTCCAGAGCTACACTTTCTGATATTCAAGTGAGTTTGGAATATCTCTAATAACAATTTTTTCGTGAAAAATATATAATTGTTCATTATGGCGCATTAATTTTCTATTCGAAATGATTCAGGCCAAATCTCGCTCTGTCAAAAATGAATTATGTACAGTAGAAATCGGTTCCTTCTGAAGCATAAAAAATACGTATTGCTTTCCACAAAAATATTTAAGGTCATAACAAAATACTTCGAAAAATTATTCAAGTAATACTTGATTCTGAGATTTTCACTGGACAGTTCACAAAACAACATCTTTCTCGAATGTCACATATCAAGAGATTTTTCTTGAAACTTCAACACAGTCTAAGTTAGAAGGGCGCACCTTCAAGATATATATTTTTTATTAAGGTTTTTATCATAATGGACCCAAATTCAACCTCCCCGGATATAAACATGTTCTGTAGGGAGGGTGAGTGTAGACCTACAGCACTTAGGCCACATGTGACCCATTGTACATCCTCCCGAGGAGTTGTCCTCCTAGGTCATCGTCCATCCTGTTTCCAGGAAGGTGGACAGGTGACTATGAGACATCTCCTTCATATTGACAGGTGTATGCCAAGACTCGCCGAACACACACTCTCTTTGCTTCTTCTTTCCAAAACTCTTCGCGGTGGCCTCCGGGCAGGTTTTGGAAGGTGCAGCGACATTACTGTCATTGCGCGGCTTTTTCAACCTTTTTGGGGTTTCCTCCGTGGAGGTACATAAGTGAGCGAGCTTTTCTGCAGAAGCAGCCGGTTCCTTGCCTTTATTCAAGGCGGAGCTCTTGGCGCTCGCCGCAGGAAGTGCCCTAGCTGTTGAAGGTGGTGTGGGGGAGGAGGAGGGTGTACTTATAGTTGCTGCCACTTCTGCCTCCTTCGTTCTCTTTCTCCTTTTGGCCTCGGCGCCGCAAATACGCTTACGTCATCACGAGGTGATCTGCTATGTCCAGTCTCATTCGAAGCGGTAGGTAGGGGTGGACATTTCTGTTCATTCCCAGCCACAGCCTCAGATTGAGGTGAGCATTTCTGTACAGCCTCGGAATTGGTTGTTTTTTTTCTTTTATCCATATGTGTTCCCACGAGTAGTAAGGGATGAGTTAGTCACCTATGGCAGAGCCAGAGGAAGGCTGATTACGATAAGGTCAGGGGGGTCAGTCCCCTGGCCGTTTCCCTATCCACCACCTGGGGACGCGCCCGATAGGTAGCCCAATCCACGAGAAGAAACCTTATATAGAATATTGGAAAAAATCATTAACGAATGATAGCAAGATCAAATTATTTTCTATTTGTTCAGATCCAACTCATTCCAAAAAAGTTTGTATCCTGTCAATTTCATATTCTTGAATTTTTTTCGATGTTCACTGTAATACACTTTCCTCGCCATTTCAACAAAAAATATCAATCTATTCCTTCCATGCAGAACATATGTCATTTCTTTCTTTTTGACGTTCTAATATCGTATTTATTACCTAATTTGTTCGATATTTTTGTCAAACTCTATATAATTATGTAAAGTATAATTTTTTTCATTCTCGGTTATTTTTATTGTCTATATAACTTCTCGCCGTTCTCATTGAAAACTATTGATTCAACTTTTTAGCCTACATAAATGTTACATATTTATTTATATAATTACAACAGTTTTCTGAATTCATACCCAGTGGTGACATAGTAAGAGCAATCGAGACGTGATTTCATAGATTATTTTTGGAAGTGTCAAGAATAATGATACTTGCATGGATAATCACTACGTTAACATTCATCAATATTTCGTAGATTCACGAATAGTTGAATGAAGGATTCGGATATTGTTCGTGTTTCAATGTTCCATTTGTACTTATATGTATCTTTCTGCTGTCCAAATATACCTTTACTCTGGTTCAAAAACTCAGAACTGATTTTTTTATTTTCTTCCGTTTCGATAACTACCAGGAATGTTGATTTTTTAATAAAATCTTGTGACACGTTTGTTTCATTGGCCATTTCATTACTGTAGACTCAAAATATAGTAGCTCTCAAATATATCCTTCACTCCTTCTCTGCTCAATTATTTCCCATGATGATATATTTCAAACAAGCCATTAATATTCAACCCTTCCAAAGAAAGTAAACATACATAAATTTCATCTTGTAACTGGTTTCACTGACAGTCAAATAGTTCTTGGCCATTTTTAATAGCGTATCGAATGTATCTGATAACGAGAATTCATATTTCAGGAGCCTTATTTGGAGGTCCCCGAGGCAGCTACTTACGAGCTCAGCTCCTGTTACAACGTCAGCATCGACTGTCGCTCCGGAGACATGATCGCCCGCATCCAAACCAGCAAATTGTTCGACGGCAAGATATACGCCAAAGGCAGCCCCAACTCGTGTGTGCGGGACGTCAACAACAGTCTGGAATTCGAGCTGAGTATGGCTTATGACAATCTCGAGTGCAACGTCAGGAAGAACGGTTTAGGAAGATATATTAACGACGTCGTAATTCAACACCACGACAAAATCGTCACGAGTAGCGATTTAGGATTAGCGGTTACCTGCCAGTACGATTTGACCAATAAGAGCGTTACCAACGAGGTGGATTTGGGTGTGCACGGCGACATTACACCAGGTGAGAATAGGAATAATGGGCTTGTCATTGATATTACGTATGGAAGCGGAAACGTGGTGTTCGTCGGATTTCTGGGGTAATAAATTCGGTGTAACGCGTATTGTGTGTTTCACGAGAGTTTGCAAAAAAGTGAACGATCTGTAAACTACTACTGTTTATCACACTGAAATTTATATTCATTTGTATGCATAGGGCTGTTTATAGGTCATTTATCTGCTGATTCACCTAAGAAGTGAGAAATGGTTGAAGGCACATGGTATATATTCATTTTGAGCTACAACAATTCGGAAATAATCAACATCATACAGAATATTTTTGTCACCTTTCAGGATTATTCGCCATGATTCATTGAAGTTCACTAACGTTTTATTGGATACTGGTACAAAGTCTGGTTGTTTCATCTCCCACTTTATGTTTTATTCGAAGTAGATAGTCAGACTTCATTCATGTTCTGCCCCTCTTCCGCTTCATCAACATTGTTTCAAAAATTCCTTTTCTTTTTTGCACATAGAAAATAAAGATTTAAAACTGAATCATTTGGAAGCAATGAAAATTATCAAACTTAAAAATTCAAACATTCTGATGAATGACCAACTGGATTTGAATAGATCACCATTATTGAACTTGTTTCCTTAAAAAACAAGAAAGAATTATTATTGATGTAGATGTGAGGTAATATTCTTCAGGTGATCATAATTGAATAGGTACCTTAGGTCGAGGTTTAGGTAATTTTTTAGAGGTAGTCCCAATTATGGTTACATGCAGTATATAGATATGAGTGTAAGAAACAACTTGAAGTATTCAAATCACTTGATAAAGCTACTGTACTATCGAAACATGTGATATATTTTTCAAATGAAGTTTGTGGAAATCAAATCGTGAGGTGTAGTTTTTGGAATTGTAACTTCTAGTTATCTTAGGAAAAATATCTTGGCCTGTCGACTACTTTCCATCTAGAATATTTTGTAATTGTTCAAATATTTTAACATTTCGTAGAACATTCTGAATAGTCCAGTTTCCTAGTCTGACTATATAGTCTGGCAGGTTAGCAGGATTCAAAAATTTGATTGCACGAGCTCAACTACATCGATATATCTAACTCCCTAAACTGGTATACAATTTGTGATAATACTCAGTACTGATAAAACAAAAGTTACATACGCGATGTTCAGATATCCATGTGAGATCATATGGCATGCCCATTTTTTTCTGCAGTTGGTCTGTTGAATAGAGACGAAGATAAGATAATTTCAACAGTTTTCGTTTCGTACGAAATATAAAGGAAGTATTTTTTTCTGGAAGCTATGTTTTTATTTGTGAAGCTATTGTTTATTTATCAAATCATTGATTGAAGTTATATACTTTCTAGTAATATTACAATTTTTTGTGTCAATGGCATCAACAGAAGAATACTTTCATTCTTTGAATAAATAATAGTCCAATCATAAATTAATAATGAATCAATATATAACCTGCAATCTAACTCAGCCTACAATGAATTGAGTTTCATGAAATGATATTGTACGAATATATCACATTCGTATTCTCATTGATATTATCCTGAAATAACTTCTCAGGATGTATAATTTTCTCTTGGGCTACAGAAAAAATCCTTCTTGCTGACTGCTTGGGCATCTTGAGGTACCTGTAGTATTAAATATTCTTTGCTACAGCCTCTGTCGGAACCTTTCTACTCCTTGTTTTACTTTCCTTTCCACCTCGCATATCACCCAATCAATTGAATATTCAATTTTTAATGTTTCAGTTTGTTTATACTACCTGAACATCACCATAAACCTCTTGTTTTTTTCGAACATGTTGGAACTCTACTCGGACTCCCTAGATTTCCCATATTTTCCATCTGACTTTCTAAATTTCCTTCTGGAAGCAACTACAGTTGATTTGATTCACTTGTTCAAGTAAATCATATTGGTCTTATTTGTGTGATACATCAAACTGTTACTCATTTGGCGAAAGCGCTGCTTCTGTCCTTGTTGACCACTTTGTTTCGATTTTAGTTGAAATAACATTGCTGAATTTTGTTTCCGTACTGTGTATTACTGATTGTATTTGATGACTTCCTTTTCCTTATCTTTTGATTGAGAAGCTGCTGCTATTTTATTTATGGTATCAAATGTTACTATTTTGGGGTTTCATACGTTCATCAGGTGATCACTTCATTAACACTCAATTTCATCAATACCTGACAGAAATCACTCATAATATCTGAATCTGAATATTGAAAAATCAGAAAATTTCAACAGCTCTTAAGTAAACTCCGTTCTTTCGTTTCACAGAATTTATGAACGCGTTCCAGGTGTCAAACATTGTACATCTTTTAGAGAAAAGTAAGGAAATAGGGAAATGGGGGGTCAGTTAAAAATACTTCTCAATATGAGTTGTATATTAAAATATACCGTATTCGTCAGTGAGTTGAGAAGTACTTCCACTGTCGATGAAGTAATTGACCAAAAAGTATACCACGTCTTTTCAAACAACATAAATGTTCAATATACATTTTTTTCAGGAAAGAATAATTTTTGGGAAGATTCCCACAATTTTTGTATCAAGATGGAGAAGTTGAAAACCGAAACATTTCTTTCCCGAAAATGGAACTATTTCAAAACGTCCTATTTCAACATTGCTTCTTGTTATTTCAGCTCTTTCGGAAGAAGTTATCGTAGACTCACCCAATGTGGCCATGAAAATCACTGACAGGAATGGCGATGACATGATGCAGTCCGCTGAAGTCGGAGATCCTCTTGCCCTGAAATTCGAAATAATGGACAAAAATAGCCCGTTTGAAATCTTCGTCAGAGAACTTGTTGCAATGGACGGCGTAGACTCTAGTGAAATCGTCCTCATCGATGCAGACGGTTGCCCTACAGATCATTTCATCATGGGACCAATTTACAAATCGGCTACATCTGGGAAGGTAAGATCTACTTATTTGTTGTGTGGGATAAATCATTTCGAAAATCACGACTCACCTGAAAAAATTCTACTCTCAAGATGATCATGATCATTAATATTTTCATTATCAAATCACAGTTTCACTATTACAAGTTTTCCTTTCAATATGAACATCACAATGACATGTCATTTGTGGATGTTGGTCTCGAACAGTTTGTAAGTACAATGTTTTCCTAACTTTTTTCGTGTATCTAATATGCATGATGTTTTTCAAAAAGGTTATATTTCTAACATGGAAAAACACTTTTTCGAAAACCTAATCAAATTTGAAACGTCTCAAGAAGTGAATAGATTCTCTGATATCTGCAAAAGTGTTTCGCTTCCAAGATGAGCAATTTTGATTCCACATTACTTGATTCGTTACTGAAATGTTAGTCTTGGTTATTTGCTCTCATAATAACGTTATGTGATATAATTATTCATGCCGTATGATAATGTTGATATGACGTATCCACAGAAGCCTTGCTGAAGTTCTATAATGATTTGTTTCATAACTTACAGATCCTTTTGAGTCACTTCGATGCATTCAAGTTCCCGTCTTCCGAAGTAGTCCAATTCCGTGCATTAGTAACCCCATGTATGCCATCCTGCGAGCCAGTGCAGTGTGACGAAGAAGACTTAACAGGTGACTTGAGATCCGTTATATCATACGGAAAACGTAGGAGGCGTCGTTCTGCCTCTGTACCTCATGATGACATGCTCCTCGTCCAATCCATCCAAATCACAGACAAGTTTGGATTCGAACGGGACCTCAACAAAACCAGCATAGGAAGCGAAGCAATGTTTATTCCCGGTGACGGCGGACTATGCATCAACGTAGCCGGACTGATAGTCGCTGCCACCGTGTTCCTGTCAGCTCAACTGGCTGTCATCGCCGCCTGGACCTTCATCTGGCAACGGAGGAGACTCAGTAAGAAATTGGAAGAGGGTATGTCCGTAAGCGTAAGCATACCTTCTCAGTTGGGACCGGGACGATCTGATAGTCTGTGTAAGCTTTACGAAAATGCCGGATACTCCCACACACGTCGATTTTAGGTACTGAAATTTAGTTTTCCAGTTAGAAGGTCCATTTTGAAATATTGTCGCGAGTGATATATTTAGGTTTGAATAATGGAAGACAATTCAAATTCGCTTCATTGTGTAGAATTAGTTTTACTGAGTAAACTAGTTTCATTGTGGCAGTCGGTGATTTTTCAGGAATTATATCTCTCGTACACTGGTGCTGAATAGTATCATAGTCAGTTCTCAAACACTGAATGTTTTTTTCGAATAACGATTCAGATCTGATGGTGACAATTTACTGAAAAATCACTCACTGTAACTTTATTTTGAAATATTCAACTGTAAATCAATTCCTGGAAAAATTCCCCACTACAGTTATTAGATTCCATAATATTTCTAACTGATAAGTATTCAATCGAATTGTGCTCAATATAGGGCTCAGTTTTATTTTAGTTCGTTTTAATATCGTTTATTTGAATATCGCAATGTATGAAACTTGAGGCATATATTAAAATAATACATTTAGATAATGTTAAACTACTTACGATAACGTTAGAAATCCCTTACTTTGCCTCATTATCTTTATCTAATTTTGCTTACTTGGTTCAGGTCTTGCATTATTTACATACATTGCAACGATTTAACTAACTCCATATGATAATGAAATGGGCAGGGTTTATCGATAAATTTGTTTCAAATTCACTCAATTCAGAAGATCTTGTCTAAATTACCTTTTCATATCAGTTCTTATTATTATAAAAATATACAAGTTCAATACACTGTTCTGTTTGAAACCCATTCAAAGACAGCTGTTGCTTTCTTAATTAGATTATAGTACCTAATCCCTGCTCTTATCAAATGCCATGCCTTCTGTTCATGTGAATTGGAATATTAACAGAAATTATGTGTTTATGATTCTAACAAATGTGTGACCAATAGTGCTCATGAGCTGAAGGCATTCATTTATAGTATAAGTTGGTGCATAACATTTAAGGATTCAAGGACGATCCTGCGCGAATGTATTGAAATATTTAGTGATAAATGAAAGCAAATGTTGAACGAATGTTTATTTAAACGCTTGTCCTTGTGTCCTAGATGCTAGTTGGTAACTTTGCTCTTCTTAATTTTTATTTCGCAGAGTTATCCACACTGTAAGCACCTGAGCGTATATTAACAAATACCATTTAATTTCTTAGACAATTTATATTTCAATTCCATAATGATATTATGTAAGTTATCTACGCTAACTGCATTAGGCAGGTTGAATAAAGTTCATATGGCCAGAAAATTGTGTTTTTGTTACCATTCTGATCTATCTCCTGAATTAACGAATGTTTTCATTCACACACACACTGGAAATGAGGAATGATCATCACTGAGTGATTATTTTGCTGAAATGTTTGTTAGGTGACTCACAAACCAAAACTACTTTTGTGACTTCAGAACATAGTTGAAAATGAATAATTCAAATGAAGGCAAACAATGTCCTTCCCATTCAGTTTGTACAAGAAGCATTCGTAATGGAATAAACATACAGTGTGTAAAAGCCAAATGGAATAAATTCATTATTTCGCTTACTGTACATATTTAAGAAAAAACCGAAACAAGTCAAATCTGAAATATAATTTGACATTCTTCAACGTAAAAATGCCTACCTTCAACCCCCTTCGAATGACAGGTACAACCCCCAATTTTTTAAATGGGAAGCATAGGTTTGTGATATATCGTTTAAAAGGTATCTTCATTTTCTATTCAAAAATGTTATCGCTTTCAAGTTTAATGCAACAATACAACAAAAACTGATATGTAATGCAAAACGTTATAAAATGTAGAATACGAAAGAGAACCATGGATGTTAACGAAACAGATGTTCAAAATGTTCACCGCGAACGTCTTGGCAACATCCTAATTTCAAATAAGACTGTCTTCTAGCATTATTCAACATATCAGGCGCGACCTAATCGCCAAAAGTGATTCGTTCTTTTGAGTCATTCACATCTAAAGGTTCAATTTCGTACACATTTCTCTTTACATATCCCCATGAAGAGAAATCTGATAATGAAATATCAGGTGATCGCCCTTGCCTTTCAATCGATCCTCGCCTCCCTATCCACCGATTTGAAAATGTTGTATCGAGGAATTGACAGAATCAACTTGGTAATATGGTGAAACCATATCGTATTCACTGGAACTTGAGGGTTTCCTGGATCAGGATATAAATTTGTTAAACTTGGAATGACATCATTTTGAAGTAGTGCCAAATAATTATCGCTGTTCAATTTGCCCTCAATGGAAAATGGACCAATGGTATGGTTTCCTACAATCTCTGCCTGAACATTAACCTTTTGAGGGAATTGCGTGTGTTCTTCTCTCATTCAGTGAGGATTTTCCGTTGATCAGTAACGGCAATTTTGCCAATTAGCATGACCGTTAAGAGACGAAGTACACTCTTCAGAAAACATAACATCTTCTAATTGGATGATATTGTTATTAAAATGTCCAGCATTTGCTCACAAAAATGAGTTCTTTCATCAAAATCGTCTTCTAAGAGATCCTGAATAGATATCATTTCATAGGGATGCATTTTATTTTCTTTCAATATGTTTACTTTCGATGTATGGCTGACATTGAATGTTGTGTATGCCTGTCTACTCGATGTATGTGGGTTTTCCTCAAACTCGAGCATCACATCTAATTTGAGTTAATCGCTCATTGCATTAGGAGCTGCTTTTTTATCTTCCCTATATACATGACCAAGCTTGCGAAACTGCTTCTCTATTTTGCTTAATGTTCCTTGAGATATTGGCGGTGAATTAGGAAATTTCTCATGAAAGAGGCCAGTTACTTCCTGTCCTGTTCGGGTTTTATCTCCGTAACCAATCATTTGCAAAACTGTTATTTTATGCATTTCCGTTAATCTAACCATTTGTCAGACTTGAAATTAACAAACTTTGAACTTAAAGTAAAATACTGACAAGTAATGTTGTAACGTATAAAACAAGTTGACAAGGAGTTTTAAACTAACGTTGTCACGGAAATTATTTACCGTTTTTTAAAGAATACCAGCTAAAACGAACATTGCTATGGTTTTTGCTTATTTTCCTGTTATCAATACCTCAACATGAAATGAGTTTTGAGTATATTGCAATAAGTTTTGAGCGTATTTTATCAAATTTCGGTAACCACATGATTTTGATTTATTTTATCTCAATTGTTGCAATAAACTTGAAAGCGATAACATTTTTGAATAGGGAATGAAAATAACTTTCAAACAATATATCTTAAGCCCATACTTCCCATTTAAAAAATTGGAGGTTGTACCTGTCACTCAACGGGGGTTGAAGGTAGCATTTTTCCGTTGAAGTATGTCAAATTATAATTTTATTTGACGTTTTTCGGGATTTTATTAAAATATGTACTTTTGTTGAAATATGTACCGTAACCGATATAATGAATTTATTCCATTTGGCTTTTGCACACTTTAGATAGGATACACAGGACTGCTACATATGATTGTGTAGTTTTTGAAATAGTATTCGATTTATACTTATGTCATATTAACAAAATATATAGTTTTCGAAAAATGTCAGTCTATAGTCCGTTCATAATTTGTTGATAGCTCACTGCAAGTTTGACCCTCATTAGAGAACTGAAATACAGAGAGGACAGCTAACATGATATAATAACAAAAACCAAACTAAAACTGGCAGTTTAAGATGTTTTCGACTAACCTACCTTGTATCTGAAGAAATACAATACAGCTATAAAACTTTTAATCCGATTATGCAGGTATTTTGAGTGGAAATGAGTGACCAGTGTCGTAGAGTATATGATTAAAACATTAGTTACTTTAAATAAATAAATATATTAATATTCTTAAACTGTAGGTACTGTAAACTGTATTTTAATTTTAAAAAAATTTCTTTATTTCATTCAAAAATAATAAGTTACTTGCAATTTGTAAAAGATACATTTATTTAATTAATACCTATTTTTAAATGATATAAACTACGATTACTTACAAAACTATTCAAATTCAAAATAAACAGTATCATCTTCGGAATCCGAGTCGTCTTACAGGTTAATAATTAGCGGTTGTGTCTCTACAGTCGCATCATCAATTATATTGTCAAGATCCCACATTTTTTGTTCTTCTTTTATTGCATGTCTTACTGAATACAATTTTCAGAGTTCTTAAAATGTATTCAACCCATTGACAAAAAATTGGCGAAGGTGACAATGGAAATACAGAAGAAATAAAGAGAAAATATTGAAAAAAATTTGAAACAATATCTACAGAAGTTAACCTAAAACTTTCCAAACCAAAATTTATCATGTTTCAGTTTGAAACAGCTAGAAGACAAAGCTGGTTGTTTATTCGCTGTCGATAACGATACAAGAGGCATGATAATGGTTTCAAGTGACAGCGAACAAATTCCAGACAAAAATGGAGAAGAGATGATGAAACAAAAATGCAGATCCGGGGTATTTGTCTTTACAATAACCAATGTAAATCATCAATCTAGCCAAGACTGTATTATCAACGAGAAGAACAAAAAGAATTTTCGTCTTCCTAAAAATTAATTGACAATATTTGACGGTACGAGTAAAGAGGTTTCCTCTCTCAGATGCTAATTACAGTATATTATTATTATTATATTATCAATTTCCACCCCCCAAGAGGAAAAACAGGGGTTCAAAGATTGTATTGAATTTCGTCAGGTTTGAAGTTTTAGGCTGATTAAAAAATATTGCAACTATTTGTTTAAAATGGTCTGTCACGAAAGCCGCTGGGATCAACTAGTAGTATTATATTTTTCCATTCATATTGAGTTAATCACTTCCATAAGTTAACTTATATACTCGTACATTCAACTACATTACCTTCAATAGAGTTCTAATGTGACAACATTATTAGTTTGATGAAAATTTGTGAATATACACTACTCATTTATAATTTCTAACTCAATGGCGAATGGTATATTGTTAGATATACGTATGAATATTTGTAATACCGGTTTTTGTAATAAATATTATTATTATGTGTGATAATGTATCTTGAACTTCAGAAATGAAGTATTAACAAGATATTGAAGAACCCAAATTCCTCATGTCTATGAGCAAATTAAATTAATTGGATGTCATCTCTGCTCAGTAAATGTAGTCGTGGTATTAGGATCACTCTAGAATAGTACATGATGAAACAATATTCTGCGATATGATTTTTTTTGAGATTTCATAAAAGTATTTCAAAAAAAAAGCTTTTCACCATCAGTTTTGTCAATAAATTATTACTGATGGGCAAACTATTATTGAGGAAACTTTTTTGTCAAAACTTGAGTGGGATGAAGAGTTACCAAACAGTCACCTGAATGCTGGTTAAAACAAGTTCATTTCTTTTCAAAAATACCTAGAAATTTTGTAATGAATTAAAAATGGTATTGTCATCTGATACACATATTCATGTATTTTTTGATTTCAGTAAAGTAGCTATTGTAAGTTATTTGTTTTCAAGAAGAGTAATAAACGAAATTATATCAGTTAATATGATTCTTGCAAAGTCTAGATTGGCACCAAAAAGTTATATTACTCAGACTGAAACTTTCAGCTACTCCATTAGGTGTCAGGGGCACAAAGTGGATTCAAGAAAGGGAGGAGTACAAGAGACCACATGTTCATAATGAAGCAAGTAACACAAAAACTAAACCAAGAAAAGACAATGATATATACAGGGTGTAACATAAGTACGTTAAAATATTCAAATGACGTATTCCTGAAACAATTATAAAAAAATAGTCTTTATAAACTTGTGTCCGAAAATGCTTCGTTTCGGAGATACGGGGTGTTGAAATTGAATTTCTTGGTTCGCTTTTTGAAAATAACTCAAAATTTGGTACCCGGGGTTTTTCGACGTGGAAAATCATAATTTCGTATTAATTTTCATGTAACTTCTAGAGGGCACTGGGTACGCTGTCATTATTCATTTCAAATTGCCCTTATTTTTTTGACAGTAAACTTTGGTACTTTTCACGAAAAAACCTAATTTCCACACCTTTTTCAAGTAAAAAAGGTACACCTCCTCAACAACGCTGGAGGTGATGGTTTTCGAGATATTTACAATTTTCTATATCGATGCATACTTAGCTCCTAGGGCGCTAAGTGAAGTTGCTGAAAACATTACAAAAAATTAGTATGTGGTGGATCTCATCGCCAAATTGAACAAATTTTTCCTAGAAAATGTTTGACGAAGAATAATTCGTTTTCGAAATACATATTG